GTTGTTGTCGATATTTGTTTAGCTTTGAGGGGAGGCATCAAAACTGGGTCAGAAATGCATTAAATGTCCTGGGCTGGAGGCTTTCCAAGTGTGTGTAAGCCAAATGCCTCTGCTTAGTAGCAAACTCTGCACATTCTCCTTGGATTTGCATCTCTAAACCTGTGCTTCTGTGTTCAGTGTGTTGCTATTTGAGTTAAAAACAGTGCAGTTCTCAGCACGGTGTCTGGAAACACATCTCAAAAGCATTGGCATACACTCCTGTGCACTTTGACAGCAGCAAGCCAGCTACTGGTGTGAGGCCACAAAAAGGCTTGCCACGAAAGCCCAGTCAATGAATGAACTTGCGAAGCTCAGGACCTCCGCCACTTCCTGGATTTATGCCTCTGAGGTTACAAATTAACAGTTTTATGAAACACATGTTGTAATTCACAACTAAATGGAAGGAAGCCGTTAGAGCTGCCTGCAAATATTTGCTAATGTAGCACAGTTAAGCTGAAAACCGTTCAACTTACGAATGTTGGTATAGCTGAGTAAGTGATGCCGACCCTGTGTAAGTACAGGAAATCTGTCTTCAGGCTCCTTTATTAAGGACACAAATGAAACAAAAGACTAATCTGGTTTGTGAGTTACACAGAATCACAGAATGTCAGGGATTGGAAGGGACTTCAAAGAATCATCTAGTCCAATCCCCCTGCCTGAGCAGGACCACCTAGATCAGATCACACAAGAGTTGTCTTACTGTCTTAAAAAGTAATCGGCATGGTTGTCTTTATTCTAAATCTTATCCCTCAGGTAAAACATCAATACCTAATTTTTGTGGTTTTAGTTTCAGGGCCTGCCTTAACTGTAGCAATGCCGAGTTTCCTTGGATCTGTTTTAGTAACAAGCAACATTTCACGACAGAACAAGTTTCTTCTCTTGCCTTTCTGTAGGGGTGGGCTAACAGCACAATCACACTTGCTGTGCAGCTGAGTGAAGCTGTCTGCTCTTGTCCTGTTACTGTGTATTGAGCTTGAACGAGTTGAGTATTTGTGGGTTTAGGCTGACTGCCACACAGTTCTAGAGTGGAAAAAAAGCAAGTCTTATACACATGCATTCTCTGCATTTGAACTTAAATTGCATGAGTGAATGGGTTTGGAAAGTGAAATCTTGAGGCTCAAGTGACATGTCGGATGCTATTGCAGTCTGCTGTGTACAAATACCAACTTCAGATTACTTTGCCTCAATGCTTTATGAAGGGAAACTGCTCCAGGTCTGGGTGTTATCCTAGTAGTTGCTCCAACACCAAAGGCCTCCAACTGACATTGTGCCAAAATCTGAGTTTGTGCCCTAGGGCTGTTGGTTTGAGGCAGTTGGAGCAACACTGAGCTTACTGATGTCAAAGTAGCTCTAGTCCAGTATGGGACCGTTCATACAAAGCTTCAGCCTGGAGTGAGCTCTCAAAGAAGTTCCACAAATCCCTCAATTAGGGGTTTTTTCAGGAAACAGACAATCTTGACTGCACCAGTACCAACATTGCTACTTGAATTGATCTTAACTTGTAAATGGTCTCCTTTTCTTGATGGGTGTTAACATACCACTAAGGCTTTTCCACTTCTCTGCCATGAGTAAGTACCTCTTTTAGAGGAGTTTTTTTAATGGTTTGTCTCAATTCTAGGTGGATAAACTGGATGCCTCAGAGTCCTTGAGAAAGGAAGAGGAGCAAGCTACGGAAACACAACCTATCGTTTATGGTAATGTTTTAGTTCATGTGTTGTCAGTAACACATTCCGCTTTTAAATCAACACTTCTCTTGTCACGGGTTTTCCCAAGGAAGTCCTTGGAAATGGGAACGTTCTTCATGTGAAATCAAGTCTTAAGGGAACGTGTTCCAAAAGATAGTGTGTTCCTAGATAAAGTGCCGCACTAATGCTGCTGCTAAGATTGGTTATGGACTGCAGGATTTAAGATTGCCTTATCTCATACTAGGCAGTTATTGCTAAACATACAAGTGTCTCCAGGGATTTGCAGGAGTTCTGCTGACTGAACTCTTCGCGCTGAGGAATAAAGACGAAATTGTTCTGCCTTGCAGGTCAGCCACAGCTGATGCTGACAGCGGGACCCAGTGTCGCAGTTCCTCCACAAGCACCTTTTGGCTATGGCTACACTGCACCTCCGTACGGGCAGCCGCAGCCAGGCTTTGGCTACAGCATGTAAGATGCAGCACAAGTCAGTTTGGAGCTAGCGTATTTTCTTACTGAAACTCCACCGTCCCTCCCCGCTTTAACTCATAACAGGGAAAAGCAAGAGTTCTGCCTCGTGTTCTTGTAACCTTTATTTCATGAAGGACTGTTTTTTCTAGCGCAAACTCTTTGAATCACTTCTGTTCAATCTTTTTCACATTCCATGTCATTTAGACTTTACTTTGAAAGGGGAATAGTTTAAACGACCTTGTTCAAGTGGGCTTTTGCAGGACTGCTTATTACCATTAAGTCTATTGTGAAGATTCTGATTTGCACTCTATAGTGTTAAACTCTAATATTGAATCTTAAGTTCATTGTATGTGAGCAGCTTACGGTATGTACTGTCTATTCTAAATGCATTTAAGTCTCACTGTATATTCGGAGAAAGCTAAAGCAAAGATACTTGTATTTGACCTTGCAAGACTGCTGACACGAGACAACACTAATCAGCATATCCTACCCTGGTCGGATTGCATAGCTCTAAAAGAACTTAAAATGCGTACAGACAACCTTGCCTGAATTAAAATGAGTAAAAGTTGTTTTGGTTTTTTTTTTCCTTAACCTATGCAGGTTTTTCCAGTTATGCATATAGAAAATGCTAGTGTCTTTTTGCTCACTCCATACGTAACAGATGACCTTATGTTGTGCTGTATCCTGTGCTTTTGTGGGACATTCCATTCAGGAACAGAGCACCATGATTCCAAAATGTGTATTTACTAACCCTGCCCTGAGGTTTGTGTATGTTGGATATTGTGGTGTTTTAGATCACTGTTTTGAGTGTACAGAAGAGAGAATTCAAGCATATTGCTGTTCAGTTTTGTTTGTGCAATTTGAAATTACTCAATTTAAAAATAAATTACTGGACTGTGGACATGCTGCATAGTGGTAGCTTCACTTTACTGTCTTCAAAAAGGACCTTTGAACTCCAACCAAGTATTACAGTGCTAGTAGTATGGGGCATGCGAGCACGAACATTCGAGGGTGTGAGGGGCCATTCTATGATTAGAAGAGCAGAAATGGAGACCATTAGTGGTGTCTTGCACTGAGGGGGGCAATACAAGAAAATATGTAATGCTTTTTCTATAGAAAGATTATGCCAGAGAGAAGAAAATAGCACTTTTCAATAGTTGGCTGCATTGTGGTCAACTACAGCATATTTGACCAGATGATACATTAGGATTGTAGTAGGGTGTGTCAGTTCAATTGAGATCATGTTCTAGGTATGTAAGTTGCCTTAAATATATTTAGCTTCAAATAAAATTGACTTAAATGTTTCTCCATGAATACTGTCATATTTCAGTGTAATGAGTATTACAGCCCTGGCCATATTTGTGAGAGCTGTAGAAGCTTCTGTCTCTTAACCAGGAGCTGTCCTCAGTGCCAGGTTCCGCCTCTGAGGCAGAATTCCCCTTCCAGCTCACTCCTGTGAACTCCACAGTTGTATTGTGTGATTCTGTCAGCCGAGCACTGCAGCAGTTCCATGTGTAAGGGTGGGAGCAGGCATCTAGGGGGGCTTAACCCACCACAGGCTCTAGGTCTTCGTTCAAGAATATGTTGGAGCAAAAGTCTGCAGTGAGTAGCACTCTTCAGAAAGTATTATGCCTAAATAAGAGGTGCAGTATAAAAAGTCTCCATTTTCTGTGTTTATTACACCTGCTTACACTTGCATTTCAAGCCCTCTGACATTCTGCCTAGGTCTGTAAATTTGACTGATGGAGACAATTCCTTCTGTTCTCCCTTTTACAACAGATTTCAGATACTCAGCTGGAACACACGGCTGAGAGGCTGTAAAAGAAATGTGTTCAACAGCAGAATTCCAATAAAACATGTAAAACTGACTCATAGGAATTCCACCTAATTCGAAGTGCAAGAAACTTGCCTTTGTGAGAGAGCTACAGTGGAGCTGCAAGGGTAGAATTCACACAAGCCCCAGCCAGCATGCTCTGAACTCTGTCCAGTAACACCTGTAACTGAGTGCTTCCTTAAACCCAAAAGGACCCGTTAATCCCAGGAAAGCAGGATTTAAGGTAGTCCCTGTATGACAAGCTGTTTATATGTGGGATAACTTCCTACACCTTGGCTAAACCGGGCATGCTGACCTGCTTGCAGCTTCCTGCAAGTGCAGTAGCTGTACAGACTCACCCACAAAGGAGCACAGCTCCCAGGTTCTCCCTACAGCTGTTTACTGGCTCTCAAGGTCCGGGCTGCAAAGCCTGTTTTACTTGGTCAGTCTCATACCAGTTACAAGATCTTGCATCACTTACTCTATTAGAAACTGTGCAGCAAGTTGGCTGCAGCTCCCCCATCTGTACGACATAATTTTTAACTGTTTCAGCAGCTCATCTTTTCTGCATTAAAGAAAGCAGAAACATCTCCTCAAAAACCACTCTTGTAAGACAGAGGGTGAAGCGGTCATTTTTTAGCACATGCAATAAATTCACTTAAGCTTTGCTAATGCTTCTGTTCAGCCAGTAAACCAGACAAAGTGCAAAACCTTCAATCAATTGCACAAGTCTTAAATATACTGGCTTCCTTCTTACGGGTCATAAAATTCTGCCAGATGTGCTTTCCTCAACTTCACTGAGCCCAGCATTTTCCTTCCCACCTTAGAAGACAATACAGAAGCTAGAGAAACTCATTATTTGCAAATTTAAATCTTCTTACAAAACGTGGTCACTTTATTTATAGTGAGAGAACATAGAGAAAAATTCCCAAACTTGGCATTTATCCCTTCGTCACCGATACACACCAACGCATTCAGATTTTTTGGTCCCCAGTTTAGAAGAGTTTCAGGTGACCAGAAACTTTATCTACTACATCAGCCGGTCCCGGTCCAATACCAAGGACTGTCCGGGAGCCTGGAGCTATCTGAGTACGACCTGCGTCTTGTATCAGGCTCACGGTCAGTCCGAGGTGCTTAGCCTCAGCCAGGAGCTGGATCAGGGTCTCTTCATCAGGAGCTCTGAGAACCACTTTAGGTTGTCCACAGTACTCCCACTGCTTCAGGAGCTCGGGATTTCTTCTTTGAACTTGCTTGTAGGCAGAAACAGCAGCATGGGAGCACTGTGCTGCTACTTTACCCTTTCCCATCTTCAGATCGTTGCGGACAATCAGCACCATCTTGAACTCCCCAGACTCTCCCATGACGTTGGCTTCGCTCCCCAGATGGTTGGCAGGTCCGGTCATTCCGGCTCTGGGCTGCCTTAGAAGTCTCCCGCGGATGCTCCATCCCAGGCACACTCCGCACGCGACTCCGGCGATGACGCTGAGGAAACCGGGCTGAGAGAGGTAATCCATGATGGATTTTGGAGGCTGGCTACGAAAGACAGGGACAGACAGAATTTACGGAGCGTTTCACAGCTCGTAACGCTGCGCCTGGTTATTTGGAGACAAACTTTTTCTCAAAAAAATAGAGAACTGTGCCACCTTCATACCCGGGGAAGGGATGCCCAGAGACCTTTCCCGGTGCACGGTCTCCTTTCCCGGTGACGGCGCACAACCTACCGGTGACGGTGCACAACTCAGAAGGCAGAACTAAAAAAAAAAATCGCAAATTACCTGAAAGTTACACCTAAAACCGGTGGGAGAACCAGTGAAATGGCGGGGGGTTAAAGTCAACCCCCGAAATTCGCTTTAGGGCTGCTGCCCGGCGGGAGCGGA